AACAAATAAAATGTGGCATATTCACATGGTAGAATATTATTTAGTCATAATAAGGAATGAAGTAGGGACTGTGGGTAGCACGGTGGTACAGTGTGTGCTTACCATGTGCAAGGCCCTGGGTTTAATCACCAGCATTTAAAAAAAAAAAAAAGAAATGCAGTACTGATGCATGATATGTCACATACCACACTATGCAAAGTGAAATAAGCCAAGCACAAAAAGCTGCATATTGTATGATCTTATTTACATAAAAATGTTCAGATAGGCAAATCTATAGAGACAAAGTCAATTAATGGTTGTCAGGGGAGTGGGGAGTGACTGCTATTGAGTATAAGGTTTCATCTTGGAGAGATGAAGATGTTCTGGAATTAGTGGTAGAGGCTGCTTGACTTTGTAAATGTACTAAAATTTTATACTTGAAAGGGAGTGAGTCCTGTGTTATGTGAATTATATCTCAATTTAACAAGGGGAAAGATATTAAAACTGCATCATAAAGAGTATGCTTGTTGGATAGATAACAGTGGGAAGAGAATTTTAGGCAGAAAGAATGGAATGAGAAAAAAGATGGATGCCACAATAAAGCAATGCACCTTCAGTAAAGGGAGAATGACTCCAAGACTGGAGCACGGGGAACACAGAGAGGAGGGGCAAAAACAAAGCTAACTAGGTAGAGACGGAACAAATAATAAAAGCACTATATATAAGCCAGTGAAGGAGGAGACCATGGGATACCTTGGTCTCCTCTCAGGACAAAGACCTAACTGCATTGCCGGACTCATTCCATCTTGTCAAGAAAGCCTTCTTTCATCAACTCAGAATCATCTAGCAACTACTCAATTTTGAAGCCCCATTCTCATTTTCTCACCACTTATAAAACGCATCTATTTACATCATTGTGAGTTTGCTCCCCAGCGGAGTACACATGCCTAGAGGGCAGATTGCTTCCAACCTTGATCATGCTGGTCCAGGACACAGTACTCTGTGGAATTACTAAGATGTTTCATGAGACTGGCAATTTTAATAAAACTGAGTTTCCTGACTTCACAAACCATTACTCACATGGCCACCCTATTGGAACGCCTGCCTAACCAAATTCATTCAAATCCTTGCCCTCTTTTATTCCAATGCCACTTGCTTGCAAAGGCTTTTCTTGCTCACCCACCTGGGTATAAACTCTCCCCTTTTTGAAATTCTGTACTTTTCTTACAGTACTGATTCCACCATGCCTTGTACTGCAGTTTTTTGGACATTACTCTCAACACAAGCATTACTCCTTGCGTACCAGAACCTATACACCTTGAAATAATGTCTATGCCTTTCCTGACTTCCTTGCAACTCCCAGCACTGTGCTAGGTACAGTCTAAGCTGAACTGTTCAACCTGAAAGAGGAATGATGAAATCAGAGACAGAAATAATCATGGTCATAAAAGTGTTTAAAAATCCTAGAGGAAACTACACGAAATGGGATGCAGGCACAAATAATGGAGTGTGTATTTTGAATCAATTTGTGACCACTTGGTGTGTTTATTTTCATCACATGGATTTCATTTTGCTACAACTCCAGAAGATCAGACAAAAGGTAATGACCTTGCAGCTGCTGTGTTCCCAAGTCTGAGGTTTTCTATAATATAAACAAAAGGTTCTGGAGGTATGGTCTCTGTTAATACTTGCCAGTGTGGGTCTGGGGGAGAAATGGATGGTGGGGTAGGAGGCAGCTGGAAGGAAATCCACCTAATGAACTGACAATTCATATAAGCAACACCTGGAGTGTTAAACCCCCTCCAAGTGTTATTTTACAAAAAATACCCCAAACAACACCCCCCCACACACACACTCTTCCTTTGGTAAATGTAAAAATTCTTCCACCAGCTGCATTCTAGGCTGAAATGTGTGGCAGTTCAGGAGTGATGGCAGCTGGAAAAGATCTCATTCAGGATGTAGTGACCACTCACTAGCAGCTATACTAGCAGCCAGGGGATAACTGGAGCCTACAAAATGAATCCTCATAGCCATATTCCTTTAAGGAAATGGATTAGCCTCAATCTGCCTGCTCAAAGTGCTCTGCTTGTAAACACTGAGGATACTGAAAATACTTATCAGCATCTGATTGGTGAAAGGATCAGCTTTTCAAATAGAAACTTCGTGACATCAACTTTTTCACAACTTCCCATTTCATCCTTTTTTTTTTTTTTTTAACAGAGAGCTAGAATTTACCTTTATTTATTCATTTATTTATGATGCTGAGGATCAAACCCAGTGCCTCACACATGCCAGGGAAGCGCTCTACCACTGAGATATCGCCCAAGCCCCCACTCTTTAAAACTTTTCTAAAGACCATGTTTTGCTTTTAGTTCTATTATTGTTAAATTTTTTTTTAAATTTTGTTTTAATTAGTTATACATGACAGTAGAATGCATTTATGCACTTTGATATATCATACATAGATAGGATATAATTTCTCATTTTTTTGAGTGCACATGTTGCAGAATCATATTGATCATGTAGTCACATATATACATCCAGTAATAATGTCTGTTTCATTCTACTATCTTTCCTATTCCCACATCCTCTCCTCTTCCCTCCCATCATTTCCCTCTATCTAATCTATGGTAATGCTATTCTTCCCTAGTGCCCCCCACCTTATTGTGATTTAGTATCTGCATATTAAGAAAACATTTGGCCTTTGGTTTTGTGGGATTGGCTTATTTTGCTTAGCATGATACTCTCCAACTCCAACCATTTACTGGAAAATGCCATAATTTTACTCTTCTTTAAAGCTGAGTAATATTCCATTGAGTATATATACCACATTTTCTTTATCTATTCATCTATTGAGGGACACCTAGGTTGGTTCCATAGTCTAGCTATTGTGAATTGAGCGGTTATAAACAATGATGTGGCTGCATCACTAGAGTATGCTGATTTTAAGTCCTTTGGGTATAAACCAAAAAGGGGGATAGGTCAAACGGTGGGTCCATTCCCAATTTTCTGAGGAATCTCCACACTAATTTCCATAGTGGTTGCACCAATCTGCAGTCCCACCAGCAATGTATGAGCCTATCTTTTTCACCACATCCTTGCCAACATTTATTGTTGCCTGTATTCTTGATGATTACCATTCTAACAGTAGTCATATGAAATCTTACAGTAGTTTTGATTTGCATTTTTCTAATTGCTAGAGATGTTGAACATTTTTTCATGTATTTGTTGATCAACTGTATTTCTTCTGTGAAGTGTCCGGTTCCTTAGCCCATTTATTGATTAAGTTATTTGTTTTTTGGTGTTAAGTTTTTTGAGTTCTTTATAGATCCTAGAGATTAATGCTTTTTCGAGGTGCATGTGGTAAAGATTTTCTCCCAATCTGTAGGCTCTCTCCTCACTCTACTAATTGTTTCCTTTGCTGAGAAAAAGCTTTTTAATTTGAATCCATCCCATTTATTAATTCTTGTTTTACTTCTTGTGCTTAGGAGTCTTGTTAAGGAAGTCAGATCCTAGGCTGACATGGTGAAGGTTTGGGCCAATTTTTTCTTCTATTAGGTGCAGGGTCTCTGTTCTAGTGCCTAAGTCTTTGATCCACTTTGAGTAGATTTTTGTGCAGGGTGAGAGATAGATAATTTCATTTTGCTACATTTGGATTTTCAGTTTTGCTAGAATCATTTGTTGAATAGGCCATCTTTTCTCCAGTGAACGTTTTTGGCTGTTAAATATTGATAATTACTGCAAAGCCAGATTCAGGCCAAATGTCTGCTTCCAGAACCTTGTGACATGGCCACTACTTCTGACAAGACAGAAGGAACTAACACTTATTGAGCACTTGCCATATAACAGGCACCAGGCCTGGCACCCTCTTCTTATTTCATCCTTACAACAACTCTAGGAGGCAGACAGCCACATTTCACATACAGAGCAGTTAGCGGGTCCAGACAGGATAAGTCTTTCACTCAGGAGCCTCAAAGGAAAAACTGGAAGAATTAGATTTGTCTGACTCCAAAGTCAGGGTTCCTTCTATTGCTCTCTGCCACAACTACAGGATAATATGAGCCAGGGAAGTTCTTCCTTCAGAATTTGCAAAGATGCTACAAGAGCCCGTGATTCTAGAATAGGCATTGGTAAACTTTTACCAAGTGGCTTAATAGTAAATATTGCAGCTTTGTGGGTTTTATGGTCTCCATTGCAATTACTCAATTCTATAGTAGTAGTACAACAGCAGCCATATATAGTTTATAAGTGAATGGTATGGCTATATTCCAATAAAACTTCATTTACTAAAACAGGTAGCAGACCAGATTTGGCCTACAGGCTACAGTTTGCCAACCTCTGCTCTACAAGGTTATAGTTGAATAATTATTTGGGCTTAAAATCAATTAAGAATGACCTACTTTTAATTTACTCAAGAAGCATGAGAGTTTTCTACACTCGACAATATGGGAGACAAAGGATGGTATAAGACATGATCCATACACTTAAGGAATGTACAGCCTTTTGACAGAGAAAAGCCAAAAATAAGAACATGAGATAGCATGTGGTAAGTGCCAAAGGAGGACCAAGGGCTGACTGATGGATCAGTAGGATACTAGGAAATGAAGAGTCCACAATTGGATTGAATAATCTTGCACCTGGGCTCAGAAAGAGTCAGAAAAACCTCTTAGTGGGCAAGAATGAAGAATAAGTCAGAAGTTACTGCTTTAAGCACTTAAAAAATACCCATTCTGGTGAGACCACATTAAGGTTTTCAGCACAAGTCAGATGCTAATCAAAGACAATACTGATTTTTGTCTCACCAAGCACTTTAGCTCCTTGTCTCATCCTCAAAGGACAAGCAATGGCCTAAGGTACAAGATGAAGTGAGCACTTTTGGGAACCTGAGAGGTCTTTCCATTTTCCTCTCTGCTGATACTTTAAGCACTGAAGTGTCTGAAAGGAGCTGCAGGCAAAGGCCAGCAGAAACCACCTTGGTCACTCTTGGAAGTCTAGTAATAAGCCAGTTCTTAAAACCTTACCTTGCTCATGGCAGTCAAGGCAGGATCGCAGGCTGCATCTAGATCCTGAACCAGCAACTGAATACTGCTGGAGATGACACTGCAAATCAAATCACTGTGGTCAATATTTTTAAAAACCACTGTTTGAATGACTGACACAGGCCCTTCCAAATATTTTAGTCACCTGTGTAAAATTTATTTTCATTTCCCCAAACTAAAGTTTTAATGAATGACCATGAAGGAGCAGTTAGCTGTTCTTGGCTTGGACTCTTGGAGTCCACCCTCAACTCCGTCTTCAACAGATACACACACACACACACACACACACACACACACAGGCAAACTCTCAGACTGCTCTTATTTGGGTGGGTCCCCACCCAGTCAAGACCTAAACTTCTATAGGTAGGCCCCTGAACTGTCATCTCCAAAACCTTCTTTGAGTTCTTTTCCAAGAGTAACTGTTTTATAGAGCTTGTAAGGTCAGGGAAAAAAGGAGAATTTTGATTTTTTTCCTCAATAAATGGTTGAGTGAAAGCTAAAGTTTGGTCCATCCTCGTTCTAGTTAAAGGCAGTGGAACAGGAACTGATAATAACAAAAATATTGCAAAGTCATAACAAGGAGAGAAATATCCTAAGAAGGTTTTGCTATTTGAACTTCTTGGATAGAGTCCACCCTTGGCCCCCTGGAACACACACACACACACACACACACACTCTCTCTCTCTCTCTCTCTCTCCCTCCCTCCCTCCCTCCCTCCCTCTCCCCCGGCACTCCCACTCCCGATGGCTAAAAGCTGGCAGTTTATGCTTTGTAATATACAACACAGTCTGGGGTTGTAGCTCAGTAGTATAGCACTTGCCCAGCATGTGTGAAGCCCTGCACTGCAAAATAAGAAAGCAAAAAAGATGGTCAGGCATAGAGGCTCATGCCCATGCCCACAGTGGTACATGCTTTTGTCCCAGAGTGCTGGGGAGGCTGAGGAAGAAGATGATTTGAGCCTGGCTTGGGCAACATAGCAAAACTTTGTCTCAAAACCAGAAAATAAATAAACAGATTAAAAACTCCCTAAAACACAGGAAGATGCAGGTGGGGACAGAGGGAAAAGAGGGAAAGCCTAGAACTAGAACTTCCTATAGGGATAGCCAAGGGAGGATTTCTTCTCTTGGGTTATTCTAGATAGTGCAATGATAAAGAACAGTTAGCTAAAAGAACAACTGCATCTGAGGAGGCAGAACAGGAGGCAGCTGCCAATTTTAATGCTTCTTCTTGATGGCTAATGGAGAACAGAATGGAAATAATCCCTATCCAGCAGAAGGCCCTGGAAACCTTTTAGGTTCTGAAGTAACTATAGCCAACATCCTGACACATGCTGCCCCATGAAGGAGAAAGGACAAGCCCCAAGCAAACTTGTGTGAGGTACATACGTGCTGAATGTGTCCATTTCTCCCGTGAGATTGATTCGTTCAGTCAGACTTACATCAACTTTTTCTTTGAGTTTTTCTTCTAACTGTTAGAAAAAGAGAAACAGAAATATGTTTAATGATTATCAAAGGAGTACCATAATAATAATAACGTTTACTAAGTTTGATGGATCAGGTACAATTCTAGACACTTTCAATGATCCTTATTTAATTCTCTCAATCCTGTAAGGAAGATTCTATTATTATCCTCATCTTCCAGGTGAGAAATTAAGATTAGCTTATCCCAGACAGTAAGCAGTAGGGCCAGAAAATAAACTTCTTCAGAACCAGTGTTGTACTTTTTCTTATGACACACCAAACATTTATAGTTAATCTTGAAAAGACCCTGATTTTTAAGATATTCCCTGCCTCATGAACTTCAGACTTGCCCACCAACACTGGAAACCTTTGCTGATGAGTGGTAGTAAAATGAGTTAATCAGTTATATTATTTATTGAGCATTACTATGAGTCAACCAGCTTGCTGAGATGTTGGAGACACAGTGGTAAACCAAAGAAACACGTTAGCCTATGGCCTAAGACAGAAACACATGCTCCTGCAGCCTCAAAGAAAAAAAATGATTAACCAGGAACTGTAAATATCCCTGGGAATTGATTCATCTAGCAATCCTAGTCCTACCACAGTCTAAGAATGAATATTTTGTGTTCAATTAAAAAGAAATGTTTTTTAGTTGTAGATGGGACAAAATACCTTAATTTATTTATTTTTATGTGGTGCTGAGGATTGAACCTGGTGCCTCACAGATACTAGGCAAGTGCTCTACCACTGAGCCACAACCCCAGCCCTTGTTTTAAATTTTAAAATGCTCTTATAATCCAGGCACAATGGCACATGCCTATAATCTCATTGGCTCAGGAGGATAAGGCAGGAGGATCACAGGTTCAAGGACAGCCTCAGCAAGTTAAGGAGGCCCTGAAAGAACTGGGGATGTAGCTCAGTGGTAAAACACCCTGGGTTCAATTCCCAGTACCTAAATAAATAAATATTAGATAAATTTAAAAAAATCCTCCTGGAGATGTGTAAATTAGTGTAATTTTTTTTTTTTGGGGGGGTGGGTACCAGGGCTTGAACCCAAGGGTAATTAACCACTGAGCTACATCCCAAGCCCTTTTTTTTATTATTTTTAATTTTGAGACAGGGTCTCACTTAAGTTGCTTAGGCAAAGCTTTGCTTAATTGCTGAGGCTGGCTTTGAACTTGTGATCCTCCTGCCTTAGCTTCCCTAGCCACTGGGATTACAGGTGTGCACTACTGTACCCAGCTAGTATAATCTTTTTGAAAGGCCATTTATTTAAAAAGCAAAACTTTAAATACATGAAGTCCCTAATATGGTAATTTCCCATCTAGAAATGTAGTTTAATGGAATAATGAAAATAATGTACAGAGATATGCAAGTACTCCTTGCAGAATTTATTAACTCAACCAACAGTTATCAAAAGCCTATTTTGTGCCAGACTAACAGAGTAAGGGAGTTATTCAGTGAACAAAACAGGTAAGATCCTGTTCTTGTAAAGCTCACATTCTACAGTTGGCAAATGTGGAAACCATTTACATTTACATATACAAAGGGCTGATGAAACAAATGAGGGCACAGGCTTATCATGCTTAAAATCTTCAATATCCCTTCCTATTACACTGAAAATAAAATTCAACCTTTCAACCATGATTTGCATCGCATCTAGCTCTCTGGCCCCAACTTGCCTGTTAGCCTCCAGAGCACTGGCCTTTGAGGTCTGTAGGACACACTGGGGATTCTTCTTTTTAATATTTTTTTAGTTATACATTGACACAATATCTTTATTTTGTTTATTTATTTTTATGTGGTGCTGAGGATCGAACCCAGGGTCTCTCACGTGCGATGCAAGCGCTCTACCACTGAGCCACAACCCCAGCCCCATACACGGGGGATTCTCCTTCAGGACCTTTGTACTCCACATTTCTACTTCTCTCAGAAGTGCTTCCTGTGGTCCTCCCAACCAGCTCCATTGCTTTGCTACACTCTCACTTCCCAACTCTTCCAAGTTCTCCCTTGGCAGTTTCCTCCTGTAAATATCACTTCCTGGGAGAAGTCCTCCATGACTACCCTCCTTTTCAGGCAACTCTCTTCCTCCAGCACTGCAATGTTTGTTTTCTTCCTAACACCAATGGAAGTTAAATCTTGGCTTATTTATTTATTGGACATCCCATCTCCAATTAGTTCTGTTCCCTGGAAGAAAGAAACTTGTCTACCCTGTTCACCATCCTTAATAAACACCAGATGTAGTGCCTAGGACATAATAAGTGCTTAATAAATATCTCTAGATAAAGAATGAAAGAATGAATGAAACACTGTATGCCATTGTTTAAAAAAAAAAAAAAAGCTGAGGTAATACTGATATGGAAACATGTCCATGATTTAAACACAAAGCAATGTTGCCTTGTGGTAGAATAGCAATGTAGAGTGTGGCCTCATTTCTATTTAAAAAGATACAACAAAAATGTTTAAAAGGATATACACTACTTAAATAGATAACAGTGGTTGCTTTGAGGGGGTGAGATTATGGGGAAATTTCATCCTTATGTATATGATTTTATAATATTTGAAACTTTTTGTTGCTTTAAAGATCTGTTTAATAGGGAATATTTCAAACATTTACAAAAATCACAGAACAGGATAATGCACCAAAGCACCTATCAGCCAGCATCACCAAATTGTCATCACATGGCCAGTCTTGTTTTGTTTATATGCTTACCTACTCTCCCATTTCTTGAATTATTCTGAAGCAAATCTTAAGTATTCTGTCACTGCATCTGCAAATATTTCAATATGTATCTCTAAGAAAGATAAGACTCAGCAAAAAAACAAAAATTCCTTTAATATCAAACACCGAATATCACCCCATGTGGTGGTGCGCACCTGTAATCCCAGTGACTTGGGAGGCTGAGGCAGGGACAGGAGGATCGCAAGTTTGAGGCTAACTTTGGCAACTTAGTGAGACCCTGTCTCAAAATGAAAAATAAAAAGTACTGGGGATGTGGCTCAGTGGTAAAACACTCCTGCCACTGGTTTAATACCCAGTACCACCCAAACAAAACAAGACAAAAAATACACCACATATCTAGTTATGTTCATATTTCTTTCATTGTTTTAAAAATTTTAAAATAACTTGTTTGAATCAGTATCTAATCAAGGTCATAGGGGGCAAGTGATTTATATGCCTCTTTTAAAAATGAAATATAGTCAAAATATAAAAAATACATACATCTTTGTGTTTAACTGGATACATTCTGATAATCATATACCCCTCTGTAATCACCTCTAGTAACAACACACAGGACACTTCCATTCCCCCAGAAAGTTACCTTATGATGCTTTGTTCACTTCCCCCCCTCCATAATCTTATTTCCATCAGCACAGATGAGTTTTGCTTATATGTGAATAAATCTTAATAAGAATCATATAGCATGCGCTCTCTGACGTTAGCTTCTTTTGTCTGACATATGTATTGAAGTCATCCACTGTGGTTGGGTGTACTAGCAGCTTGTCCATTTTATGGTCGAGTAATAGCCCATTATATGTTCATCTGTTCTCTTTATCTATTGAAAGACACTTGGAGTGCTTCTAATTTTGAGCTACTGTAACCACCCCTGTATGCATCTTTCTGTGGTTATGTTTTCATTTACACTGGGTAAATACCTGGGAATGGCAACACTGAGTCATAATGCTTTATAAGACACTGTCAAACTGTTTTCTAAAATGGCTATATCTCCCTGTGGCCAATGTTTTCTTCCCCAGCACATTAAGTCATGTGTATGGGATAGTGGAGCACTTGATGATTAGGGATTTTGTCAGTGTGTATTTTGGAGAGTGAAAGGTTCACAACTGACTAGTATCCAAAAGAACTTGTTTGAGGAATGGCAGGCAAGGTGTGATAATGCATGACTGTAAGTTTTCAATCTGGGACCTTAGGAAAAAAATCAAATGGCTATACATATTCTTTTATATTCTGATTATGAGAATTCCAGCTGTTCCATTTGTTGCCCATATTTGACATTGTCTTTTTGACTTTTAGCCATTCTAATAGCTATTTTGCCCTTTCCTACTAATTAATGATGCTGAACACTTTTTCTTTGCTTATTTTACATTTATATATCTTCTTTTGTGAAATGTTTTGCCCATTTAAATGGGTTGTTTGCCTTTTTATTGGTGATATTAGGTGCTCTTTGTGTATCCTATATTTTTCCAAGTCTGTAGCTCGTCTATTTTCTTAATGGAGTCCTTTGATAAGCAGAAAATTTTAATTTTGATGAAGGCCAATGTATAAAAAAAATTCCCTTTTCTGGTTAGTATCCTGACCAAGCAATCTTTGTCTACCCAAGGTTGTGAAGATCTTTTCCTGTTTTTCTTGGAGAAGCTTTGTGATTCTGAGCTTTACATTTAAGTCTATGATATGTATATTTGTGTGTGTGTGTGTGTGTGTGTGTGTGTTTGTTTCTTGGAATTGAACTCAGGGGTAATCTCAACTGAGATACAATCCCTAGCCCTTTTTATTTTAATTTTGTTTTACTTTTAATTTTTTCTTTCTATTTTTATTTTGAGACAGGAGCTCGCTCAGTTGTCCAGGCTAGCTTCCAACTTGTGATCCTCCTCCCTCAGTCTCCTGCATTGCTGAGATTACAGACATGCACCACTGCACCTGGTCTCTGATCCATCTTTTCTTTTTAATATATTTTTTTAGTTGTAGATGGACACAATACCTTTATTTAATTTATTTATTTATATGTGGTGCTGAGGATAGAACCCAGTGACTCACATGTACTAGGCAGGTACTCTACCATTGAGCCACAGTCCCAGCACCTCTTATCCATCTTGAATTAAGTTTTGTGCATGGTATGAGGAAGGAGTTCAGGCTGTTGTACATATTTAAAATCTGCTGAACCAAGATGGGCATGGTGATGCATGCCCGAATAGCCATGATTTTTAGAAAGAGTTTCCTTTCTCTATTTAATTGACTTGGCACCTTTGTAGAAAATCATTTGGTCATATACATGTAGGTCCATTTCTAAACTCATTCTGTTCCACCAATTTATTTGTCTATACTTATACCACTCTGACACTGCCTTGATTACTGTAGCTTTGTAGTAAGTTTGGTGCTAGATGCTGAGGATTGAACCAAGGGCCTCATACTTACTTGGCCAGGATTCTCCATTCCCCTGAACTACACCCACAGCGATATATGGTAAATCTTGAAATCACATAATAATACATCCAATTATTTTCTTCTTTTTCAATATTGTCTAGTTCTCTATAAACTTTTCTTGACCATATCTTTAAAAAGGCTTCCTGAAATTTTTAAAACATATATTCTTAAAAAAAAATATATATATATATATATATAGATAGATAGTTGTAGTTGGGCACAATACCTTTATTTTATTTATTTATTTTTACGTGGTGCTGAAGATTAAACCCAGCACCTTGCATGTGGTAGGCAAGGCTCTACCCTTGAGCCACAACCACAACCCAGCCTCCTGGGATTTTGATAGGGAACTGTGCTAAGCTATATTCCCTAGGTATCTGATATTTTAAGTAGCTATTGTAAGTACTATTTTTAAAAATAAATTATCCTGGACTGGGGAATGTGGCTCAAGCGGCAGCGCGCTCGCCTGGCATGCATGCGGCCTGGGTTCGATCCTCAGCACCACATACAAACAAAGATGTTGTGTCCACTGAAAACTAAAATATATATATATTAAAAAATTCTCTCTCTCTCTCTTTAAAAAATATAAATAAATAAATTATCCTTTTTAGGATAGTTTTAGATTTATAGAACAATTGGAAAAATAGTTCAGAGAGTTCCCATATACCACATACCCATTTTCCCACATTATGGACATTAGGCCTACCCTAAATCCAAGATGATCTCATCTTGAGGTACTTAATTACATTTGCAAAGACCATAATTTCCACATAAGACCACATTTCTAGGTAAGGGAGAGGTCAGGACTTTTAATACTAGTTCTTGATACTTCTCCTGCTTTTTTTTTTTTTTTTTTTGGTACCAGGGATTGAACCCAGGGACTCTTAACCACTGAGCCCTTTTTTACTTTTTAATTTTGAGACAGGGTCTTATTAAGTTGCTTAAGGCCTCAAAAAATTGCCAAGGCTGGCCTTGAACTTGCAATCCTCCTGCCTCAGACTCCCAAGCTGTTGGGATTACAGGCAAGCACCACCAGACTCAACTTCTTGCTTTTTTTTTAATGACATGCTATCTCAGGTTCATCTGCTCATCTTACACATTTCTTGCTCCAGACATGGAATTAGTCATTTATCCATAAATCTCTCATTTCTTTTAGTGGAAAATGGTATTTAGAGATCCAGGCAGCTAAGAATGTATTTATTTTTATAAACAATTTTCACTAAATTATAAAAAAAAAAAGCTACACATACCATGAGTCATCAAAATGGTTTCTGATCTACTAATACTTCTAGAATTTTGAAGATTATTCTAGAAAAATAATGTGAAACATTTAAAATACTGTATTCTAAAAGATATTCTTAGGATTATTTATAATTTGATATAGTAAAAACAATTATTAAGGATACTGTTAAATAATTCATGATATAGCCCCTTAATGGAATATTATATAGCCATAAAAGATGCTAGTAACAAAAACATTTTAGTAATAAGACAAATGCTAATGCTATGACAGCAACAATAAAAGAATGTAAAAACTGAATTAAGATTATAATATACAAAACTGTTTATAAAAATGATTGAAAGAAAATAACCCAAGTTGCTGATATGATTATTTGGGGGTATGGGACTGTAAGTAATAATTTTTACTATGTTTTTTCTTTTTTATTATGGTGATTTTATCTTTTTTTTTTGAACTGAGGATTGAACCCAAGATGCTTTACCAGTGAGCACACCCTGAGCCCTGTTTTTTTGTGATGTCAATAGCCAGTGATGTATAGACCTTTTTGTTTTTTATTTTGAAGCAGGATTTCACTAAGTTGCCAAGGCTAGTCTCAAACACTGATCCTCCTGCCTCAGCCTCCAGAGGAACTGGGATTATAGGCATGCACCACTGTATTCAGCTTGGTTATTTTATTTTAAAAATAATGTCATTCTGTATGTGTAGGCTTTCTCTTTTGCACATATGCAAAATACTTAAATAGTGTTTCTTCATCAAAACTCTGGGACCCCTCCCTTGGAGGTCCTGGTAGATACTGACATCCTGCTCTGGGGTCCTGGGGGCTAAATGTATTGCTGACTCTGGCTTCAAGACCAAACTTTTGCAGGTCATTTCTATGCAACTCAATGTGACCGTTCTCTAAGCAGAATATGTTACTGCCTCTGCCTCTACTGCTGGCTGGCTGACTTCAACTCTGCAATCCTCATAGAAACATTTCCTATTTGGCCTTCTGTATTTGTGCCCTGGATCACATAACATTTAGCTGTAATGTCTGAACTATCATCTATGACTATCTTCCCATGATCTAGACATGAGTAAATGATATACACAAGAATGGAAGAACAGAACCTTCCCATATTATTTTCTTTCTTTTAGACTTAGGTGGCTCCAAGAATAAATGAAAAAAAAAAAATAACTTCTAATCATCCCATGTCTAAGACTGAATGGAAATTTTCTCTGGGTCTTCTGCAAAATCAGTTTGCTGAACTTCTGCCACTTGGGGGGTTCCAGTAGAGGCATCACCCCTTCCTGCTTCACAGTTCCTGAACGTCAGCATCCAAACAATGGTTATTTGTTTTAGCAGATGCAGAATGCTATGTAAACTTCAGGAGACTCTCAAAAGCCCAAGGGAGTTCACTTAGTTTAATAAAGCTTCTGAGAATGGAATAACTGATTGCCACCAAATGTGGGGCCCAGTACCATTAAGTTTGTTACTGTTTTTCTCATATGGGAGACAGTGCTACTGACCTACTTTTAAGAGTTCATGCTTGCTGAGTGGCTCATACTACTTAAGGGAGACCAGTCATACTTTCTTGCACAGTCTCCTTTTAACAAGGTCTTTCTGTAAGATGGCTCTCTCAGCAGTCTCCTGGCTGGATAGTAAGTTTTCCCCTGTGGGAGGCCAACTGGTCTGCCCAAGATTGAATGCGACCTTTTGGGGCTCATGCTCTTCATTCTCAGCTATGAGTCCAGGGAGTCCAGGAAAAGGAGGTGGTACATGGGCAGCAGGGATGGTTGGCTCACCTGCTGGGTGGTGGCCCAACAGTATTCTGCTGTGCTTAGTATGCTGCAGATGAGGCAGAGCTCCTCGAGAGTGAACTTGGCCACTTCTGAGCCCTCCTTTTCCTTGAGAAGGCTGCTGATGGTCAACCCTCCACTGCTGGTTGTGGTTCTGAAGAAAGGGAACAGACACTAGTCAGGTTTGAACTTCTAATTTGTTTCTTGAATGGAAACTACACATTTTAAGACAAAGAAAAAACGGGAAAGAAAGGCTGGCTGTGGCCCAAACAAATCCACATACAATGAGTCCTTTTCCTACTGACCTTACCTTGACTATCATCTGTTTAGACACTCTGCACCATTAGGAGTAGGAAGAGACAATGCCAAGAGTGAGTCAGTAATCAGTCGTATTAACTATGACAAGCTGACACTTGCTGGGCTGCCTATCACTTTAGCTTTGAATTTCCTAATTCATACAACACATTTGGAATCATTGATAGCACAAAAGTTGCTACCCAACTGCTTCAACTAAGAAAATTCTGCACTGGAATTTAATAAAAGTTGTGTAGAGGGAGGAGTACATAAGTGAATAAGACACTGTTCCTTCCTGAAGCCCTTACTCAAGAGATCAAAAGGCAGCTCCCATCCTCTGTGATTACAATTTTTGAGGGGCAGTCCCTCGTCCATATGAGATCTAAGGTAACAATAATTACCCACTCTTATGTGGATCTTTCAGAATCCTCTGCTGGTTCTTTTTGCCCTGCCCCATTTCTGTGAACAGTGTGTCTTTATAAACTAACAAAATTCCAGCTGAGTGTACCATTTGTTTCTTGCTGGGACACTGACTAAGACATATGGGAACATGCTCACAGGATATTAAGTGAAAGCTGCAGGGTATAAGACTATCAGTGACAGAGTCCCAATTCTATTACACTAACAAACCAAAGCACACATCTCACACATATATGTACACACACACACACACACACACACGAATAAAGAATGGAAAAAATATACAAAAAGTCACACAGTGTTTCTTTGGGTGGTGAGGTTATAGGTGATTTTCATTTTCTTTCTTGTACTTTTCTGTGCTTTCTATGCTATAATGAACTTGTATTATCTTGATAATCAGGACAAAAGTTATTAAATTTTACAAATAATTTTTGTCATAGATAAAGACAAAGACCTTCTCATTTCTAAACTATACTCAACACTTAAAATATCCTGTGTAGCACAGGATTCTATTCTCTTTCTTCCAAATAATGTAAAACTCATTTGTGACACATATGAGTAACAATGATAGAAACTAATTCTCAAATTGTTGATTTACCTATGGGGATAGTTTGTAAATACTAAGTTCTGAAGCATTATATTAGGTCATGTTGCAGTAGAAATGGCTACATAATCAAAACATCTCTAAAATGGTAGTTCAATGATCCACATGTTTTAAGTAACAAACAATATAACAATCTTTTAATGTCTCAGAATATAGTGGGGTCACTGTAATCAGGAGCTGTGCTGTGTAATCCCCTCCTCACAAATCCTACCACATCTTTAAACATCAGACATCCAGCATAGCAAGATATACAAACAAGAGAGATTTTTGGGAACCTAATCAAGAAAGGGAAAAACTGGATGCATGCTCCCATCTATCACTGTAGGACATAATCACACTGAATGAGGCTTGAAAATAATTACCTGTGCTATTGAATAGTTATTTCCATCACCTCATTTTTTTTTTTTTGGTAGGGGGAGTAGCTATTGTTGAATCTATGTAAGTTAAATACTTATACATAATAGGACTGACTCCCTAGAGTCCACCATGGTATGATGTAACCTACACTGGCAGCCAGGGGGGCATCTCTGCTAATGGTCTTGATCAGCTTTGGAATGTCATCAGAAAGGAAACAGCATCAGATCCTTGGGGACTCAGTAAGAGTATTTTCCGCCTTACTGCTCTTGGCAGTTCAGTAAACAACTACAGAATGGATTTCCTTAAAGATTCCCATATTTAGGAATATTCCAAATCTCACTTTATTGTTCTGACTGTGCAGAGCGGGACTCACTTGGGCAGGTTGCCAGAGAGAATTTTCCAGGCGTATTCTCGGAGGTACTTCTGGAAAATGGTTGTCAGGGCAATCATTGGCTCCCCGGTACTGAGCTGTGAGCACTGTACCATGCACTTCTTGTAGTAGACGAAGAGGTCAGCACAGCTGGGGAGCACAGCGCCCCCCTCATCAGTGTTGGGCTTAGGTGGCCCCTGGGCTTTGAAATCGGCCACAAACCTATCAATCAGCTCTCCAAGGTTTCTAGGAAGAAGAAACTAAAATGTTATTTCACTTCCAAAAAGATATAGCAAATGTGCTTGATTACAAAATGTACATAAATTGCTGCCTTAATTAATCATTCCTGATGTTTCTGAAATTTAAAATTGGGTTCATTTTTATCAGTCATCATTTACCACCATCATTCACCCTATAATAGGAATCATGATTAAATTAAATAACCATTAAAATAACAGCAGCAAGAGAGTCTGGCATCTATGTACTGCTTCAAACTTCTCAAAGCATTTCATGATCGCTTTTGATCCCAAACTCAGTGGCAGAACTGAGTTCATAAATCTACCATTTGAGTAAATATACTACTCCTACCACCATTTAGCACCATTCCCTTTTCCACAAATTAAAACCCCATGGATTAATGATAGTGATCACTTTCTAAACACTTATGATGTGCCAGATGTCATGGCAGTGCTTTATAAGTATCATCTCACTGAACTTTGTTTATTCTTCATAATAATCTTCTGAAGTAGGCAACAGTACTATCTTCCTTTTCAAAAAAGTTAGGTAAAGAGAAGTTAAGCACCTTGTTCAAGGTCATTTGCAAGAAAGTAGGGAAGCCATAGTTCAAAAGCAAGCAGTCTGCCTCCAAGCCTAATGTTTTTCAAGACTCTACTTCACAAAAAAGGTTATGATGTCAGCAGAGATTTAGACACCATCAACTTGAATGGGTCCACAGGATGGATGCCTAAACAAAGATAAACTTAAAAATAAACAGACAAAAACTAATGCTTTCCTTCTTCATTCAGTTTGTAATTTCTTCTTAGAACTTCTAGAATCAAGGATATATGAAACTCTTGGGAGAAGAATGGGTAGGAGCAGCTTCAGGCCAGCCCCAGGCCACAGTGGTGATAGTGGTTGCTATCTGTCTCCCCTTTCCCATTCAAGCATCCCTGAATTTGCCTCAATCACCCCAAGTCATCACCAGCTAGAATCCGGCAGGGCTATAACCACTGATCTCTATGAGGTTGTGCTATGTGGATAATGGGAGGCTGCCACTTTTTGACATGTGGCACCTTTTTAGGCAGCTGTCTAAAGCCAAAGGAATCCAGCTGTGTTTTTAAAATGTATTTATACAATAGGAAGAAAAAGACAAGAACCACACACAGCATCAATTAGCAGGAATAGGAAAAAAATGACATTTTACTCAAGTGATCTTGTTATTCAAAGTTTACTATATCCAGATGTGGCTACTCTGCCCTCAAAGAGATTCAAGCTTAGGCTACGTCTTTGTCTGTAGTAACAGAAAGCAGAGAAGAACCTCATTAATTGACCTTGGAAAGTTCCATGATCACCACCCCACCCCACAACCTCTTTTTACCCTACTTTTCCATCTACCCTCCCACCTCTCTTCCATGGTTGACCTCCACTCTGGCCAGTCACCCTGTAGGTCCTCTGCTTCACCTCCTTCCCTGTCAACTGGGCCTCTGCCTATTGCCTCCCTGGCCAAAGCACACTCCTTCCACTTCAGCTTGGCTCAGGCCTCACTGTGCAATTCCAAGTCACAGCAATCCTCTCTGAACTGGAATTCCTGTCATTTGCCATTAGATTTTTTTTCTTTCTTTTTCTTGTGATCCTGGGAATCAAACCCAGGACCTCACATATGCCAGTCAAATGTCCTACCACTGAGCCACATCCCATGCCCTCCACTTAACTTTTTAACACTTTAGTTTCCAGTATAAGGATGCCAAATGGTCAAAAAACACACCAAGTTTCTCCCACCCTGAGACCATGGTGGGCAATGCTAATTAACAATGTCTTATTTTTACTGATCAACAGTATAATTCCAGAATCCTTGAGACACCATTTTAGCCAGTCACTTCTCCTAAGTTGAAGCTGGTACAAAAAGTGAAAGCTGCTTGCTTTAAAGTAGTAGAATCCTGCATTTCATGTCTGTTATCATAAGCTCCCTATTAGTTGGGAGGATGTATATGTAGTAGCTCAACTTCCACATTTTGTTCCAAAGAGATAGGGATGAAATGGTGGGAAGGTGGATATGGGATGGGGCTGCTAAAGTGGAAAAGAACCTGTAACAGAAAGCAAAAGATTCTACTTGAGTCTGCTTAGGAGAGATTCGAATCTCTCCCTCAATGGTACCAACCAAAACAGGGGCCAGAGCTCTTAAGTGTTTTTACTTTAATCACTCATCTGTTCCTCTAAAAGCTGGAGACTTAACTCACCTACTTCCTATTTCACAGCCAACCTGATGAATAAGATTATAATTAATTATGATCATATAGCATAAAGAAAATTTATACATGAAAACCTCTAAAGATTGTTGTTTTGCTGAAAGTCCACTGAGTAACTTTTGACATTGCTCTCTAGTATATATGATAAATAGTCAAGGAAATCTTCCCTGCTCTGCCTTCTTTCACTCTCTGCATTAGCATGCTTTGATACCATACAAGACATCAGGAACTGAAGAGACCATTTTTCATAGAATAAGCAGTAAAAGCTACCCTAATGTGAATGGGTAAGGATCATTAGTTTTTTTTTTTTTAAGTATTTTTTTAGTTGTAGATGGACATAATACCTTTATTTTGTTTATTTAGTTTTATGTGGTGCTTGGGACTGAACCCAGGGCCTCATACAGCTAGGCAAGCGCTCTACCCCTGAGCTACAATACAACCCCATCCCAGGATCATTAGTTTTGAGTATATGATCCTATCCAGCCAAATACTGATTGAACCCCTTACTATGTGGAATGCCTGAAGGACTGTCAGAAGATATAAATGAATTCAACTTTAAGAAGAAAGGTTATCATTTCTTCTAGGCATCAAACGTACCCTGGGTTTTAGCAAGATCTTCATGCAAGACTCATGGAGAAAGAGATGTCTGACACAATGACCTTCTGACTAGAATCACAAAGAGGTCTTTTTTATACCCTAAGACAACAACCCAGTAAGAGTTTACAAAGTGTCAAGTCCTGACCCAGGTGCTTATGGGTTAGGACAGTCCTTGCTATTAGACTTGAGAAATTAAGAACTTTGCACTTAGAATATTTAGATTTCAAGACAGTAACAAAATGCTAATTTTGCAGTACAGACAGTATGGACAATTTGATTTTGACAAAGAAAATAAGAGAAGGCTACAGAGTAAGTTTTGTAGCAGATTCAGAGAGGGAAGTGAGCACAGCACATGTATATGAGGAAGAGGATGGGAAGGGGGAGAAATAGTTGGTTGAAGTCAAAGACACAAATGAGAAAAGTCTGATCTTTAGTCAGACTTTTATACTCTTCTTCTGAATTACCACAGCAACCTACTCATACATTTTTACATTTTTCCCTTCTTGCTGTGTACCACAATCTTTTTTTTTTTGTCTGTCTCTTTTACTAGGCTACAAGCCTAGTCTGCACTGTGTTAAATGTTTTCTAAGTATAACCTTATTTAATCTTCCCAATAGCTTTGAGTAAAAGGCCTTATTATCCCCATTTTATAGATGTATAAACTAAGCCTGAGAATAGAAAATAATTTGTTCAAGGTCACAGAATTTATTGAAGTTGGAATCTGAACTTGGGTATGTCTGACTCCAAGCTCTATCCACTCTGTGATGATATGATTTCTGAACTATAAAGTGCTAGCAAACATATGGTATTACTGCTGTTATTTACTTTCTCCTCAGCTTGAAGAAACATACCATGGATGTGTGGTTCCTTTTACCCTCATCCCTGCAGCTTCAGTTTGTGTCCAAGAACTGTGTAAGTATTTGAGGTCATGTGAGATTATACTGGGGGCTCTACTAACAAATGAAATGTCCTAGAAGTAAAAACTACTGCAGAGTGGCATCAGTACAGGGATAGATTAAAACAAGTGTGTTGGGGGGACCATCTCACTGCCGACTGAACTTAACCATGAATGACCAAGCCAATTTCTTCTGATGGATCTGTAGTCAGCATTGTTAAAAATGATATTCTGATTAGAAAGTAAGGTGGGCAAAGATGCTAGTTAGAAAGGTGGCAAGAGAAGCAGGGAGTCAGCAAGGGTCAAGTAGCTTACAATCCCCAGAAAGTTACAGAACTGTTCATTCAAGGGTACTCACATTAATAGGCACCCCTTCCCCTTCTCTTTTTTTGGGGGCTAGGGATTTGGATATGGGGAGGCCAGAGAGGTTGGAGAACCAAGGTTTGGCTTGAGTAGGGCTGGGAGACAGTTTACATAAGGGAAAATGTAGTAAATAATTGAAGATGTTGGGAGCAAAGTTTCTCACTGTTGTCGAAGATAGTTACCATTGTGGGGTGGGGAGATTAAAGTAACTCCTGTGGTATTAAATTAGAATCAAAGGTATAGCATAAACTTGTGATTTTTAATAGATAAGTAGATAAAAAAGATGTGTATGTATATATAGATGCATGTAAGCAATGATACACACACAGCAATGAGCATACTGAATACTCAGAATGTGGTTCCTAAATATCACTTTCCACCAATACAACAAGAGATCACTGGATACACAGATAACCCAGGGTTGGCTATGAATGTATAAGATAAGTCTGGTATATATTATTGTGCCAGAATGAAGGAAAATACTCAAAAAACTGACAGGGATATGTTAAAAAAAATAAAAAGCCAGCTTGGAGAGGTTCCTTCTGGTCAAATTAGGGACAATTTAAGCATTAAGTAATAATAGATCCTGAAAAAGAAAAGGGACATGAATGAAAAACTTGGTAAGATTCAAATAAGGTCTGGAGATTAGTAAATGCTATTGTACCAACAATAACTTGTTAGTTTTAATCTCTGCTATTATTGTGCAAAATGTCAACATTAGGGGGTTGAGGGTAAAGAAAATATGGAAAATTTATACAATTTAAAAATTTTTTGTAGGTATAAATTTATTCCAATATAAAGAAAATGGGGAAAAAGACAATAAAGTCTATATGTATTGAATAAAATAGGAATTCACGAGCCAGGCCAAAATAGATAAGTAAGGGAGAAATAAAAGCTTTTTCTTAAAGTAGAATGCTAACTAATGA